ATGCATGTTTTAAAGCATTTACAAGTCATTGGTTAAAATGTTTTTTTTTTCTTTTTTTAAATTTAAAATTGTCCTTTTTATATGCGCACTTTTCTATTAGGAATAAACAATGTAATATATTTTTAGATTACACATATGTGTGTGTGTGAGAGAGAGAGAGAGGGGGGAGGTGTAAGCGTTTATTTGTTTGTACCTACTAGTGTCCCCAAACGACATGTGAACATCTTGTATCTATTACTGAAAATCTCAAATATGTTTAATCCGTCTTTCTCTCTCTTTGTTTCCATCTGCTTGTCTACCTGTCATTCCGCATAAAGTGTATACCTTGGTTTCCATGTAAACCTAAAGTAACGTGTCGTGTGTCTCGCGTGAAATGCGACCGACTCACCCGTTATATATTTCATGGGTACGCACACACATACACACACGCACGTGTGTTTTTATACCTAGAACTTCCTCGCTCACCCACATGTCTGTTACCCTCAGTTCATCGTTTTTTCTCTCAACCTTACTCTCCTTTGTTTTGTTTTGTTTTTTTTGTTACTCTCCCTTTCTCTTACGTTTTTTATAATCTCACCTGTTATTTAGTATCTCTTCTTGTACGTTTTTTCTTTATTTTTCTTCTCTAATTATATTATGGCTTTTCACTTTTCTATTATTTAATCTCTACTCATCTCCTTTCAGTTCTGTCCAGACTTTGTGAAAATTAGTTTTTCTAACTATTTTATTTCGTGATCGTTTCCGTTTCATGATGCTTTTTCGAATTATAACCATTTCAACATATTTTCCTTAGATTATACCATGCATTTCTTAAACAATTTTACTGTTTTCTAATAAAAATTACATAAACCCAACCAGGGCCGGAGCAAGGGTCTCGTGAACCACCCGCAACTATGATACACACCTATTTATGATACCCTCGAATGCATGATACGAGCCCCCACCCACCCACACCCTACTAAATCTCAATTTTAATAAGTTAGTATTAATATAAAATTCAAATTTTATTGTAGCCTAATTATGTACAATAATGGATCATATGCGATATAGGTGAAAAATTTAGCCACAAAAATTGAAAATAAATACAATGTATCTAAATAGAAATTATGGATATGTCATAATAGATCATTCCATCTTAAATGACGCAAAAATGTTTTACGACAATTGTTAGATTCGATTTGTGATTTTCCTAGTTAAAAAGTAGAATAATTTTAGCACATTTAACATTATGAATAAAAACAAATCGAATTTTCTATAGTTTTTTTTTCGAGACTTAACATGAGCAAAACAATTTTACGGATTTGGACGAAAATAAAAAAAAATCCGCGAAAATTATTCATTCTTTAATAATCAGTTGTGCATACTTTAATTTGTATATAAATATGGTAGAAAAAAAAGCAAGTGTTGATAAGATAGCTAGGGTCACAAAGCATTGTCCGAGCACCACTCGCCCCCAATCAGGCTTGCCCCGCCCTCTCTCCCTGGTTAGGGTAGTACGCACCGACCCTGAGCCCAACACAAGCTTTGTCCATCAGTCTCTTCTCAGTTAGGATCATAGTTACTGAATTTAATTTAACTGGGACTGGGATGTTGAATATGTAATTACAATCAAAATTCAACACCAACCACTTTGAACATTTTGTGTTATAAATGTCTTGTAATTCTAGCAATCATCTCTTAATTTGTTTTTATTCCTTATTCTACGTGTATATTCCGAAAAATCACTAGAAGAAGTTACATTTAAAATATTCTATGGATGATGTGAAAAAACATCGAAATATTAAGAAAACTGATTAGATGTTTTGTTTGATAATTAAAGTATTGCTTTGTTACTATTATGGCTGTCGAAGTTAAGTTAAGCCTTTACACTAAACAACAGCAAGATTTGGTTTTATTGATTAGTTCGCGGCCAAATTGCTTATAAATCTATTTTGTTAATCAATTAGATTTATTTCCCATCTTCATCGAAATCAATCCTCATGAAACAGCGTTCGACGTACATCTCTGGCTAAGAAGTGCCAATCAAATCGAGACCCGAAGTGACACAACTTTAAGTACGCAAGTCGTTGGTGAAAATGACAGTTTTGTGTAGCAAAACAGACATAGTAGACGAAGCTTGAAGCACTTTATTTATCCTTTTATGTCAATAAGATGTAGCTAACATGATTGTCTTTTTGTCGCATTTGATCAAATGAATGAAAGGTGAACATAGGTCTAGATTTCTGTATATTTTTCATTATTGACGGTTTGATAAACACGGAAGATGTTTTTTTTTTTAATTTTACATTTAGTTTTCTGAACAATTGTTTTTCATTCACTGAATCTGTTATTGGATGGGAATATGCATATAGCGATTTACTAAGCGTAGCTTAGATGTGGTACAAGGCCACACACACAAACATATATATATATATATATATATATATATATATATATATATATATATATATATATAGAGAGAGAGAGAGAGAAGATATATATATATATATATATATACATATATATATGCACATATACATATGTGTATATAAATATATGTATATATATATATATATATATATATATGTATATATAAATATATATACATATATATAGATAGATAGATAGATAGATAGATAGATAGATAGATAGATAGATAGATAGATAGATGCGGGTATGTGAATAAATCTGTTTCCTAATATATGTTAATTAGTTGAATTTCCCTCTATAATGTCCACTGCAACAGACACAATCTTTGAGATTAATATTCTCCACTGAATAAAGTGTGCTGGCAAGGAACGAGATTATGTTAAAAAATAAAAACTTAAAGGTTAAAAAAATTTTTTTTTTCAATATTGGTTGGTGATATATTGCTGCAAGTCTTTCGGTCTGCCTGTCTCTTTCTCTCTCTCATTCTCTCTCTCTCTCTCTCTCTCTCTCTCTATATATATATATATATATATATAGAGAGATAAGATATCAAACATTGAGTGATGCTGTTAATAAAATAGTGCTCGATATAATATAACAGAGCTATTAAGTATATATTAATAAATATACATATATGGAGATATATGTCAAATTTTGCAGTGGTCATTTTAGGTTTATATACACTAAAATTTGAAATTTGTTTATACATACACACACACACACATATGTTTGTGTGTGTTGCGTGTGCATGTGTGTATGTGAGAGAGATACATTGTGTGTGTAGATATGTAGATAGAGGGAGAGAGATTGTTTGTAATTTTTGTATCCATATTATATGTATATATTTGCAAAAATATGTATATATGTATACAATACAGATATGTATACAAATTATATACTCACAACATTTTCGTACACGCATTAGGTATATGGATATGCACGCAAATAAACGTAGGATTACTGAAATCGAACGAAAATAATTAAAAACCAGAAAGCATATATATATATATATATATATATATATATATATATATATGTATTACATGTACAGTGTGTTTCCTTTCACTCCTGGGTTGAAATGTTTCACTGGTTAGCCAAAAACAAGCACACTGAAGTCGTTGATTTGTTGTCGCGCGTGTCCTTCTGTAATATCTACTTTTGTAACCCATCTCTCTCTCCTCTTTCTCTCGACTTCTCTCTCTTTCTCTCTTATTAACTGATTTTCTCTCTCCTTCTCTACAATCTCCTCACACACTATTGCTTATTAAATCATTATTACCCGCTTACCAGCAAATATTCCACTTTTGTCCTTCTCTCTCTCTCTCTTCATATATATATATATATATATATATATATATATAACTTAGTCTGCTATTTTTCCATTTGTACACGGTTCTCAATGATTTCTTATACGGTCTCATCAATTTCTTTCTTTCCCCTATGTTAGCTTCGTTCTCTTCTGTTGGCCTTTCTTTTTCTACTCGTCTCTCTCCACTTCTCTCATCATTCTCTCTTTTTTTCTTTCTCTCTCCCCCTCTTTCTCTATACATACATACATACATATATATCTGTGCGCGCGCGCGCGCGTGTGTGTGTGTGTGTGTGTGTGTGTGTCTTTCTGTCTGTCTGTGTTCTCTTCTTCCCCAACCTCAGTATACAGTAGTTTTGATAACCTGCTCCGGTTTTGCTCTCCTTTACTCTCCTTACTCTCCAACACTTGTATCTCCTCCCCTTATTGTGCCTTTATTTTTTTTTTCATACTCCCTCCAGACCTCCCTCCACACAACTATGGTTCTCTCTTTTCTATTCACCGCTACCACTGCCTCCGCCCTACCACTCTTTCCTTTGCTTTACGTTGCTTTTCACTCTCGTCTGGGCCTACCAGAAGAGTGTATACGCTAAATCTTGTTCGTTACTTTCTGTTGTTTATTTTAATGTCTTATTCTTATTGTCTTTTTTTTTTCAGGGAGAGAAAAAGTACGCTCGGTATTACAGAGTCTGAGGAAGATAGCTTTGAGTTTAAATTGTATTTTACTGCAAGAGTCGTGGTTCTCTCTTTTGCGCAAGGAATCTTACAATCTACACGGACTGATAGGTTAGCTAGCGGTATGGCTTGGTTAAAACGAGAATAAGCCATCATGAATCTTGTGAACAACGAGAAGACATCTATACATTCATACTAATACATAGAAAATATATACGAATTTTACACATACATACGCACACACACACAAACATATAAACACATACATATGTAAATACTCAACCAGAGATATACAAAAATACGAAGCCGGTAGGCTGTTAAGCAGACCAGCAGGTAGAGAGACTAGGCAAGGCTTGGGCAAAAACGTGGACTTTGCCAGCCAAGGAAGATCCTTGCAAAAAGCGACCAATCGGCGTGCACTGTGCTGCCGAGTGGGCGGGTCTCACTGCTGTGATGTTTGAATTCATATATTCGAAGCTAAGACACTGTTGATTTAAGTACACTGCTTGTCAGGAACTGTTATAGTAGATTCACGAGCGGCTTGTCCGTCAGCCTGCCTTGTACATTTATCCGAAAATTACCTATAATCAACCGAAAAACAGAGCCCATGATGCTTAACATCGCAGGAAGTGTTGACGGTTTGGACCAAGATGTAACGGGAAAGTCGGCGTTCATGGAACTCCAGCAACAGCCGATGCCTCCAGGAATGGCACACCCGGCCTACCCGATTCGATCTTCGTACCCAACTCACCAAAGTCAACATGAAAATGTCTTTTCCACAGCACAACACACTCGGCCATTTACCTACCCTTTCGCTATGAATACTATGTCGGCGACCACCTACAATCCTCCAACCCATGCATTTTCTGTGACCCCTTATCAAACGACGTCTCCAACTCGTGAAGGTAAGATATCTGCCCTCAGTAAATACACTTATAAACACAATCACACGGACTTATGCATGTACGTATATGTCTTATTAAGTACATATACTATTGCATAAGGCTAATTAAAATATAAACAAATATAGGCATGCGTCAACCTAGTGGTCAATATATGTTCCTTGTTTACTTGCAGCTTTTTATCGTTTATCTCTATATATTCGTTTATACAAATATAATCGAGTACCCACCTTTTAATATGGAAGGCTACGTGGATATATATATATATATATATATATATATATATATATATATATATATATATATATTTTATTTTAGAAAATCCTGAAAAATTACTTATATTTATATAGTGATATATATCTATGGATAATGTCAGCACATATGGTCGTTAAATTATAAAGAATTATTTCGATAGCAAAGTATAGAAATGTATATATAGTGAAATATGTAATGGTTGATTGCTTAATTTGGGTTACTTTGTAGTTGTAATTAAAATTTCTATGAAATAGGGATTTTAATTTGTTTTTTTTTTTTCATTTAGGGTCTTTTAATATTTAGTGTCTCATAATTGCTTTTCTTTTTCTTTTCTTTTTAATTTTACACTTTATTGATTAAAAACATAGGTAAGATCAATATAAACAAAAAGTATGTTTTAATATATTATATCATAAGATCCCCTTTTCTTGAACGAAAATATTCAATGTTTTGTCTATAGATAAACAGAATTTTCAAAATTCGTAGAGGACGTGGAAATAATACATGCATAAACATAGATGTATTCAATGAGATATATACTCACACTGATATGTATATTTCGGTTGAATAGCAACTGGCCATATGTTAAGTATTTTTTTAATTTATTTGACTGATTAATATATAGTCTAATCACAGCTTAGATATTTACTGCATAGTTGATTGTCTCCGAATAAAAACAATTGTGAATAGGTCTTTTGTAACACACACACACACACACACACACACACACACATATATATATATATATATATATATATATATTAGCTGGGTTGAGGGACGAAAAGGGAGAAGTTAATGACAAAGAGGGTGGAAGCTATAAGTAATTTCTATAAAGACAAGGTGAGAGGTTAGTTGGTGACAGGGGTGGATGAAAGAAACAAAAAAAAAATGGTGCCTTTTGTGTGCTTTCGTTTTTTCTTTTGTTTTTTTTTTTAGTTCATACGATGTTGTTGAGGAAAGAGTAGAAAAATCATGGGGGACAAGGAAGAGGAGCCAACGAAAGAAAGGGAGTGAAAGAGTGATTAACCAACTGAAAGAGCGGGTGAAAGCACTGGCCATCATCCATCATGGATTTACAGGGGATTAAATATCGTTCAGATCTCGCGAACTTGCTACGACACACTCACACACACAAACACACACAAACATACTTATACACACACATTCTTCACACACACATATATATTCATATATATATATATATATATATACAAACACACACACACACATATATATATTTATTTACATATATATATTTAAATTAATATGCGTGTAAACCTTCGAAAGTTTAATATAAAGATATTACTTAATGTAATTTTAATTGTATTAGAAATTCTAAGTTTACTTTTAAACTGACTACTTACTCTGAATTTTTTAAAACATATTGAAAATAAGACCTCCATTATTTGTTAAAACCTTTTAAGATTCATTTCTCTCTGTCAACTTATTTATTTCCCTGGTCATGTATATGCATATTCGGCGTACAAAATGGTGTATTTAAAGCGGACCATCCTTCGAAAATCAGTTACTATTGTTATCTATAGCAATAAGCAGACGAGATCTGAATATTTTTTTTTAAATTTTTTGTTCATTAATATCTCTAATAGAAATGTGCTATAACCTGAATTATATAATTACGAACATCGATTCAAACATTAGAAGATTTATATCCAGTTCAAATAAACCTAATTATAATAAAACTGGATTTATTTTTAGGGCGTTTTTTTTCTCCTCTGATTAATAAATTGCACTGCTTCGAACGTCGCATTGGATGTCTGTACTACAACGTCCCTGTGCCAGACGAAGGTTAATTTAGTAAACATTTCTGAAAGAATCAATGTGGAGCAATGGTTATCAAATTGGTTTCACTGACTGTTCACACTCGTGAATACAATCACTACGGTGTGCCACGTACTCATAATCGTGTGCCATATCGGCTAGTCTTGTTACAAAAGTGGTACAACGCTGTAAATCAAAGTAGTCTCGCAGAGAAACATTTACATACACTATATAGCGACTCGGATTCTCACTGAGTGTCCTAAAATTGCGGTCTTGTGTTATAGAAAGCTCAATATATATCAGTAGTATTTATTGTTAAATTTTAATCCTTTGCTAAATATTTGTTTAAAAATATGTGAGATATATTTAATAATGTAAAATAGATGGACGTGAAGCTTATTTGCATTTATGGCGTTTGAATGTATTTGATAACATTATTAAAATATAATCATAGATAGACTGGATGTAAAAGAGGGTATACAGCTTGTAAACAATTATATACGACAATGCAAATTAACAACGAGCATAGAAAATAAACGAACACGCCTGCATGTATGATATATTGGAGTTATGTGCATTTTATGACCTAGGGATTAAAAAGAAAAAAAAAAGCAAATAGGTCGGAATACGCTAGTCTTTTCTTTCATCTGTCTAAGCATCTGTTTTACAATGAATGTTTTTTGACAAAGAAATTTAACTTATATTTCGCAGCGATATCGAAGAGAATAGTCGGTCCCTGCAGGTTTTACATAGTCACCGCCAAACTAGATAGCCTTGAACGATATCTTAAATCTCGCATCGGCTAAGTAACTGCTCGTGGAACAATACCTCACACTGACTCACACACTAAACTGAATGGGGGTTACCTGTCCGTTCTTATGCACGCACACGCAGACAAATACACACAAATCCTTAATGACGTGCTAGAAAAAATAAGTGTTTAGGATTGTAGCTTTATTGTAAAATAAAGTTAGTTTGCAAGAAAGGCTTTGGATTAAAGCAAATGTTTCAAATTTGAATTAACTAAGAGTGAATATTACTTTAAGATTAAATAATATTATATTTTTTGTGTATTTTATAAATCATTGGTGATATTTTTCAGACTATCCAACTCAATCTTAATCTAATATAGTAAATAATTATGTCTTTCCTTTCTTGACTCCTGGGAAAATTTAAAGCATAAATGAAATAATTTATGCAGGTTAAATATATAATAAATTAAATGATTTTTTTCACACCTTTGTATATTGGTTAATATTTAATATCTTTATCATCAATGTCTAGTTTATACATACCGCGGTGAAGTTAATTATTTAAAACAAAACCTTTGATTATTTTTTTTTTTTGTTATCAGCAAAGATAATGATAAAAATAAATTCGACTAGATTTGCAATTACTAATTCAAAAATTATTGATCTATTTATTTAGTTTTTCGATAATTCAATAATTTTTAAAAAAATATTTAAGACCGTAACAAAGAAATAAAAAAGAAGAAAATAACAGAGAATAAATCTAAGTCAAAAGAAAGTCTCCAAACTTTTACATTTTCGGAACGCAAAAACGCATTCACTATACCAAGTAAGCAATATATATATATATATATATATATATGTTCATTCTTAATGTTTTTCACTAGTCAAATGTTTTTTCTTTAAAATAAAATTTTTAAAAAAATACATATACCTTAGAAAATTTGTAAACAACAACAAACGCCTCTAATATAAATAAAACAAACAAACAAAAAGGTGAACAGACACCCTCTTGAGTCTGGACATTAGAGATGATAAGTTATCTAATTTAATTTGATTTATGGTTACTCATAGATAGCAAGACATTTTCCCCTCACATACTGTTTTTTTTTTTTATTTATTCTAACCTGCGGAAGCCAAAAAGGGCAGACGCTAATTCCACTTATTACCATTTTAGATCTTTTCTTTCCCGGTGCAATATTTAATATTGATTAATTCGTCTGTTTCTTTAGGCACTAGCAGTTTTTTTTAATCGCGTTTAGTATTAAATAAACATCAAAAACTATAGCACTCGAATTGCGTAAGGAATAAATGGATTTATATTTGCATGCATTGGTTAATATTAGTGACCAAAATAATTGATGGTATTTTACAATAAAAGATCATTTGAAACGAAATTTGTACGAATTTAAAAATCAAATTCATAAAGATTTACTTAGCTACATATCCAATCTTTCGCAAAATTATTTACTTTGTAATTATTTTTTTTTTAATTATACAAATCAATCCAGTTGTGTTATTTATTATATATTTTTATTTAATAGCTAAAGACAAAAAAAGTAATATACATACATACAATAACAAGAAATAAGATTAAGATTTATAATCCGGTGTTCTTAGCAATTATTTTTACTTCTTAAAAAAAACAATGCTCGATACAAACTGTAAAGCAAAATATTATAATTATTTTCTTTTTTTAAACTTAATCTGACTTTGTAATTAACATATATTGGATAAATAAGCTATCCAGGAAATTAAAACCCAACCACCCCTAATCAAAATAGGTTGAATTTTTCTCAAACTTAACAACTCGTAATATTAATATTGACTGCGATTATAACTTAAGTAAATTTCTTTAAAAAGTTATTCCTAACATCGCTTGACAATGGAACGAAACTATGGATTTTAAGTTTAATTTTTATAATTAAATTTATAAATTTAATTTCAGTTTTGAAACATAGAAATTTTTACCGTGTGAAATCATATTTTTTAAAAAGTAAATAATTAATAATATATATATATATATATATATATATATATATATATATATATATATATATATATATATGTGTGTGTGTGTGTGTGTGTGTATGCAAGTATGCAGAAAAATAGAAGGAAACACGTCAGGTAAATAATCCAGGTTCATAGTATTTTTTTGTGTATATATATATATATATATATATATATATATATATATATATATATATATATATATATAGA